GTGTCCCCCCAATGTCCCCCCCCATCCCCAGGGAGCCGCGGCGCATCGTGATCCACCGGGGCTCGACGGGGCTGGGCTTCAACATCGTGGGGGGGGAGGACGGCGAAGGCATCTTCATCTCCTTCATCCTGGCGGGGGGCCCGGCCGACCTCAGCGGGGATGTTGACCAGGGGGACCAGATCCTCTCCGTGAGTGCCTGCCCCACGGCCTGCCCCATAGCGGGACCCATAGCCTGCCCCATAGCGGGACCCACAGTCTGCCCCACAGCTGCCTGTCCCCATGGCCAGACCCACAGACAGCCCCGTCCCCACGTCTCCCCACGGCCACGTGTCCCCACGCTGCGCAAGGGGGACCAGATCCTCTCCGTGAGTGCCTGCCCCACGGCCTGCCCCACGGCCTGCCCCATAGCGGGACCCATAGCGGGACCCACAGCCTCCTGTCCCCATGGCCAGACCCACAGCCACGTGTCCCCATCCCTGTGACCATGGTGGCACGTCCTTGTCCCCACAGGGGTGACACGTCCCCGTCCCTGTCCCTGTGGGGCTGACACCCATTGGGGCTGCTCTGTCCCCATGGGGGTGACACGTCCCTGTCCCCACAAGGGTGACACATCCCCCTGGCTGTCCCCATCCCCGTGGGGTGACACCTGTGGGGGTGGCATGTCCCTATAGGGGTGACACATCCCTGTCCCCACAAGGGTGACACGTCCCTGTCCCTATAGGGGTCACATGTTCCCCTGGCTGTCCCCATCCCTGTGGGGGTGACACAGCCCCATCCCTATCCCCATCCCCATGGGGGTGACACAAACCTGTCCCCACGGGGGTGACATGTCCCCATCCTTGTCCCCATCCCCGTGGTGCTGACATGTCCCCATGGGGGTGACACAAACCTGTCCCCACGGGGGTGACATGTCCCCATCCTTGTCCCCATCCCCGTGGTGCTGACATGTCCCCATGGGGGTGACACAAACCTGTCCCCATGGGGGTGACAGGTCCCCCTGGCTGTCCCTGTCCCTGTGGGGTAACCCCCGTGGGGTGACCTGTCCCCATGGGGTGACCCCTGTGGGGGTGACCTGTCCCCGTGGGGTGACCCCCGTGGGGTGACACGTCCCCGTGGGGTGACACCCATGGGGGTGACATGTCCCTGTCCCTATAGAGGTGACACATCCCCATCCCCACGGGGGTGACATGACCCCCTGGCTGTCCCCCTCCCCGTGGGGTGACCCCCGTGGGGTGACCCATCCCTGTCCCCGTGGGGTGACCCCTGTGGGGTGACACGTCCCTGTCCCTGTGGGGTGACCCCCGTGGGGTGCCCCCTCCCGCAGGTGAACGGGGTGGACCTGCGCAGCGCCACACACGAGCAGGCGGCCGTGGCCCTGAAGAACGCCGGCCAGACCGTCACCATCATCGCCCAGTACAAGCCCGAGGGTGAGTGGGGAGGGGGCCCGGAGCTGGGGGGGGTCCCTGCTGTGTCCCCTGACCCCCCCTGACCCCCCCTGAC